GTTATATACCCTTTTGGCAGTGACACAGGTCAACGTTTTCTGTAAGTCTTCACAAGGTTTCACACACTGTTGCTGGTATTTTGGCCCATTCCTCCATGCAGATCTCCTCTAGAGCAGTGATGTTTTGGGGCTGTCGCTGGGCAACATGGACTTTCAACTCCCTCCAAAGATTTTCTATGGGGTTTGAGATCTGGAGACTGGCTAGGCCACTCCAGACCTTGAAATGCTTCTTACGAAGCCACTCCTTCATTGCCCGGGCGGTGTGTGTTTGGGATCATTGTCATGCTGAAAGACGCAGCCACGTTTCATCTTCAATGCCTTGCTGATGGAAGGAGGTTTTCACTCAAAATCTCACGATACATGGCCCCATTCATTCTTTCCTTTACACGGATCAGTCGTCCTGGTCCCTTTACAGAAAAACAGCCCCAAAGCATGATGTTTCCCCCCCCATGCTTCACAGTAGGTATGGTGTTCTTTGGATGCAACTCAGCATTCTTTGTCCTCCAAACCCGACGAGTTGAGTTTTTACCAAAAAGTTATATTTTGGTTTCATCTGACCATATGACATTCTCCCAATCCTCTTCTGGATCATCCAATGCACTCTAGCAAACTTCAGAGGGGCCTGGACATGTACTGGCTTAAGCGGGGGGACATGTCTGGCACTGCGATTTGAGTCCCTGGCGGCGTAGTGTGTTACTGATGGTAGGCTTTGTTACTTTGGTCCCAGCTCTCTGCAGGTCATTCACTAGGTCCCCCCGTGTGGTTCTGGGATTTTTGCTCACCGTTCTTGTGATCATTTTGACCCCACGGGGTGAGAGATCTTGCGTGGAGCCCCAGATCGAGGGAGATTATCAGTGGTCTTGTATGTCTTCCATTTCCTAATAATTGCTCCCACAGTTGATTTCTTCAAACCAAGCTGCTTACCTATTGCAGATTCAGTCTTCCCAGCCTGGTGCAGGTCTACAATTTTGTTTCTGGTGTCCTTTGACAGCTCTTTGGTCTTGGCCATAGTGGAGTTTGGAGTGTGACTGTTGAGGTTGTGGACAGGTTGTCTTTTATACTGATAACAAGTTCAAACAGGTGCCATTAATACAGGTAACGAGTGGAGGACAGAGGAGCCTCTTAAAGAAGAAGTTACAGGTCTGTGAGAGCCAGAAATCTGCTTGTTTGTAGGTGACCAAATACTTATTTTCCACCATAATTTGCAAATAAATTCATTAAAAATCCTACAATGTGATTTTCTGGATTTTTTCTTTTCAATTTGTCTGTCATAGTTGACGTGTATCTATGATGAAAATTACAGGCCTCTCTCATCTTTTTAAGTGGGAGAAACTTGCACAATTGGTGGCTGACTAAATACATTTTTTCCCCACTGTATATAGCAAAGTATTGAGAAACTTTTGTTATTGACCAAATACTTATTTTCCACCATAATTTGCAAATAAATTCATTAAAAATTCTCCAATGTGATTTTCTGGAAAATAAAATCTCATTTTGTCTGTCATAGTTGACGTGTACCTATAATGAAAATTACAGGCCTCTCATCTTTTTAAGTGGGAGAACTTGCACAATTGGTGGCTGACTAAATACTTTTTTCCCCCACTGTAAATGCAGTGGTGGAAAAAGTACCCAACTGTCATACTTGAGTAAAAGTAAAGATACTTAATAGAAAATAACTCAAGTAAAAGTGAAAGTCACCCAATAAAATACTACTTGAGTGAAAGTCTAAAAGTATTTGGTTTTTAATATACAGTGCTTAAGTATCAAAAGTATATGTAATTGCTAAAATATGCTTATCAAATGTGAAAGTATGAATCATTTCATATTCCTTATATTAAGCAAACCAGACGGCACGATTTTCTTGTTTAATTATTTTACGGATAGCCAGGGGCACACTCCCAACACTCAGATATAATTTACAAATGTAGATTTTGTGTTTAGTGAGTCCGCCAGATCAGAGGCAGTAGGGATGACCAGGGATGTTCTCTTGATAAGTGTGTGAATTGGAAATACATTTTGTCCTGCTAAGCATTGGAAATGTAACTAGTACTTTTGGGTTGTCAGGGAAAATGTATGGAGTAAAAAGTACATTATTTTTGTTGTGTCGAGAAAACGTTGCTAATTATGCTGTGAGACCAAGGAAATCCGCTGACGCTGTACTTCGATTATAAAGGTTTATTATATCAGAGTATTCCAGCTTCAATTTATGGATGTCTGCAGGCACCCGGAGAACAGCCGACCCAAATTCAAATATGCTATTCTCACCGTCCTTTGTCCCAAACCATAGTATATATCCTATGTAATCTGATATGGGTGTTTCCCCTACAGACCAATCCCAGGAGGTCACCTAACAGACTTCCTCTGCTTTAGGGTGCACCTCTAAAACTGCTCCCCAGATGCTCCCTGGGCCAAATCAACATTCTCTAAGCTACCATTTGCAAACATTAACAAAGTCATAATTCCTCAGATACTACATTTTCTTTAGGAATGTAGTAGAGTAAAAGTTGTCAAAAATATAAATAGTAAAGTACAGATACCCCCCAAAACTACTTAAGTAGTAATTTAAAGTATTTTTACTTGAGTACTTTACACCACTGTGTAAATGGCAATTTATAGAAGGGTCCAGACACTTTTTTGTGTGATTGCACCTGTTTTTGATAAACAGCAAATCACTTCCTCATCCTCGTTGTGTAGTATGGGGACCCCGAAAAAAAGGCTCCGAAAACATCCCAAACGCCCAAAGCTCTCAGTATAGTAATGCAGGTCTTTAGCTGTTGTACACATGAAACTGTGTCATTCAGAACTTTATCCGCAACGTTATATTCCATTTTGTTGTGACTTGAGTGATACCGCTCCGTCCATTCCACAGGTTACTGCCAAAATAAAGGAAACACTTAAGTAAATGATGGATACAAAGTATATTGAAAGCATGGGGTGCTTCCACACAGGAAGTTCCAGACACTTGTAGAATCTATGCCAAGGCGCATCGAAGCTGTTCTGGCACAACGCACTATTAAGACACTTTATGTTGGTGTTTCCTTTATTTTGGCAGTTACCTGTAGCAGCAGGCTACACAGAGAATGGAACAGCTGGATAAGGGAAATGGCTTGAGTCGCACAAAAGGGAATGTAACATTGCAGATACAATTCGGAATGACAATTTCATGTGTACAACATCTTAAGACCTGCATCACTATACTGAGAGCTTTACCGTTTCTAAAAGTACGTATTTGGGTGTTTTTTTAGCCTTTGTTCATGTTTTTTGGGGCCCCCATACTACACAATGAGGATGAGGAAGGGATTTGCTGTTTGGGTTAAGTTTCTCAAATGTGAAATCACAAAAAAGGTGTCTGGACCCTTCTATAACATTCTATTTACATGAATTTAGATTTGGTTGTAAAAAATGACTTCTCCTTTAATCAACTGCCTCCGGGATGCTTCTTCCTTCTTTGTAAGATAAAAAGGAGGGGGAGTGTCAGTGTGTTTAATCACTTCTTTCCCAGGATCTTTGAACTAAATGACAACTGGGTTCAAACCTCCAGCGGTTTTTGGTCCCTTAACTTCTGACAGAGAGTTACTATTTCTCACTATTCACTGTGGTTACATTTGTGAGGGAGCAGAAGTCCTCTTAGAACGTATCAGGCCTCTGTTGCCATGGTAAAATAGCTTAGCCACAAGACATAGCATATAAAGTGTTCGATGTAGATCACTCACAGAATCCATTATTCAATGCTTATTTAATTTTTTTAGAGGTGCATTGTATAAGCACGTCTTATGGTACTCTTCCAATAGTGGCTACTCCCAATGGACAAAACAACAACCTCTTGCTGTTGCTACTGACTGATCTGAAACAACTGACTAGGCAAAAGCAATATTGTGAAACAAACACCCAACTAGTCATTGGTCACCTCAACCTACCTAAGTTATTTTCAGGCCGGTGGTTATACAGTTAGTCAGAGCAACTTGTTAATTTTTTTACTACCCTATGACCCTCACTTGACGCCATTTCAATCACTAAGAGTGCTGCGTCCTTCGAAAACCTTTTAAGATGCCTCCCCTCTTGATTTTTGTTAGGGTCATATTTTGTGCTTTCTTTACAGAAACCTGTGAGAGAGACGTTTCCCTGAAAATGTAATAATAAACAATCTGAATCTCCTCGGTTTACATGTAATCCTCTTTGACTGTTTGTTTTTCTTTAATTCAAGTCACAGTCAGGCGCCTCCCCTCTCCCTTGGAGATGGAGGCCGGCACACACAGCTGGGGGCTGTTGTTTGAACTGCAGAGTTAGTAACCTGGGGCTAGGATTTATTCAAGACAAATATCAGCTTGTCTTTCAGAAGCATTTCTTTTCTGATTTCATTACGGTTACGTCACTTTTTCCTTTCTTCCTTTAGCTCTTTCTTTCTTGCCCTCCCTACTTGTGTTAAAGCTAGAGTCCTTAACAATAACAAAGCAACCACCCCGCCTCTGTTTTGGTAAAAAGCTGAGGTACGGGCCTGGAGAAATGTGACCACTCTTAAATTCATAGACTGAGCTATGGATGCAAGGAGCGACCATCCACAATATCAACATGATAGTTTTAACCATGTTTTGAGTAATATCGCAGTATATTTTTCGATAGCAAAATTCACACACAAAGGAGACTCTTTGGTCCTTTAATAACCTGCTGAATGTGTTTTGTTTCCTTGCCACGATACTGGGATCGTCCCGGCCCTAGTTTTGAGGCTATACAGTGTTTGTTTACATTTACATTGTTTGAAAACCATTGGTGTAAAACAAACGTTTATTTGGGGTTCTGATGGGGTACGACAGTTTGATTAAGCTTATGAGGCATTTATAAGTTATATTCTTCAAGAATCAATGGATATATATCATTAATGAATAAGTCCAAAATGGATGCAGCAACTACGGATTCTAGCTTTAATCCTTTATCATTGAATCCTGTTCTCTCTCTCTCTCTCTCGCTCTCTCGCTCTCTCTCTCTCTCTCTGTTGTTTTAAGGCTCCGCCATAGAGATGACCCGGGTGTGTTCTGTGTAGGACTGACCCTGGCATGGCTACTGCTAGGAAGAGTAAGTATCTTCCTTGTTTTGTTGATGCTCTGAGATTTGTGTGTTTTTCCCTATTATGTGGTGTTCATTGCAAGAATTTGTATTTCTAAAGTGTGTTCAAATTCAAAACATGGTGCAGCTGAGTTAACCTTAGCCTAAATCCTTTATTACTGTTTCTTTATTCTTCTTCGGGTTGGCAGACATTGTCGATGTCTGGATCAGGTTCCCATCAGTCTCTCCCTCATACTGTCTGTTTCCGAAATGGTAAACTATTGCCTAGATCGGTGTTTCCCAAGTAAAATCAGGTGTGCTTGTCCGGGGCCACGCCAAAAATATGTACTGTTAAGGGTACCCGAGGAGCGGAGTTAGTGCACCACTTCTGACTAAAGGCCTATGGGCCCACTTTCCAAGGGCTCCATCACTGCTCTTATGTTTGCTATCAAAGATGGAGCCCCCAAAATCAGGCTTTTCACTGACCGAACAGCACACAGTACTCAAACCTGTAATAGATTTTTTGTTTGTGATTTTGGAGGCTTTGTGGCAGCATCACATGAGGTATTGGCATGAAGATGGTAAAGGCTCCCCCCCTCTTTATTTCTCTCACTCCGCCCCCCCTCTTTCCCTCTCCCCCATCCCTCTCACCCTTCCCCTATGTTATAACAGCACTACAGTATACAAATGCTTAGTAAGTGTGTAATTTAAAGAAGTGATCATCAGGAAGGGTACAGAAAACCCCATAGCAACATGAGACAAGAGAAATAAGACCTAGGAGACGGTGGCTGGAATTCAATCCAACCCCTACATGGCAATGTTTATGTATACAATGTCTTTCTTTACAATCCACACATACTACGTAACGTCTTATTCTGAGAACTACAATCATCAAATTACAGTCTTTGGACGCATATAATTTGAGGGGATTCTAGTTGTGGGCAAAACCACAATGTGAACTTTATTGAATTAAGCCTGAAGTGTGTCTGAGTCTGTGTGTGACCGACAGTGTGAATGAATATGATGCACATGACAGATAAGCAGGAAGTGTTCAGGGAGCCTCGTAGAAACACAGCAAGAGAACAACAGCTGGGAGACAGGTCACTGTCATTAATACCTCCCGTCCCCGTCCCCCTCCCCGTCCCATCCCCCGAGGAGATTGGGTCTTTGTGTCTGCACACAAAGAGCTCAGCTCTCCCTGGGTCTTTGTTTCTGCACACACAGAGCTCAGCTCTCCCTGGGTCTTTGTTTCTGCACACAAAGAGCTCAGCTCTCCCTGGGTCTTTGTCCTCACTTTAATTAATTAAGCTACAAACTGAATGAGAGACGGTGTAGATTTACTTTCTATTTGGTTTCACCTCAATGTATTTTTTATGTGTCTGGGATGTTGCCAGTGACAGACAGACAGATCTGGTCCTTAAAAAAAAAAAGGGAACTGAACTTGGAGAGAACGCCTTAATAGAGTTGGTTACCATGATATTTTGCCACCCTAACTCTAGGTCTATATTTGTTGTCTGAGTAAGCAAAGAGAATAGACTGTCATACACAGAGATCCTATTGGATTATATTCTAAAATCAAATTCTATTCTGTCGTAGTTATAACCATTCCAATAGAATCTCTTTTCAATAAAATCCTAGGCAGGGACATATGAAACCATATACACTACCAGTCAAAAGTTTGGACACACCTACTCAATCAAGGGTTTTTCTTTATTTTTTACTATTTTTTTACATTGTAGAATAATAGTGAAGACATCAAAACTATGAAATAACACATATGGAATCATGTAGTAACCAAAAAAGGGTTAAACAAATATATTTGAGATTCTTCAAAGTAGCCACCCTTTGCCTTGATGACAGCTTTGCACACTCTTGGCAGTCTCTCAATCAGCTTCATGAGGTAGTAACCTGGAATGCATTTCAATTAACAGGTGTGCCTTCTTAAAAGTTAATTTGTGGAATTTCTAACCTTCTTCATGTGTTTGAGCGAATAAGTGGTGTTGTGACAAGGTAGGGGGGTATACAGAAGATAGCCCTATTTGGTAAAAGACCAAGTCCATATTATGGCAAGAACAGCTCAAATAAGCAAAGAGAAACGACAGTCCATCATTACTTTAAGACATGAAGGTCAGTCAATACGGAAAACTTCAAGAACTATACGGAAAATTTCAAATTTCTTCAAGTGCAGTCGCAAAAACCATCAAGCGCTATGATGAAACTACCACAGGAATGGACGACTCAGTTACCTCTGCTGGAGAAGATAAGTTCATTAGAGTTACCAGCCTCAGAAATTGCAGCCCAAATAAATGCTTCACAGAGTTCAAGTCAGACACATCTCAACATCAACTGTTCAGAGGGGACTGTGTGAATCAGGCCTTCATGATCGAATTGCTGCAAAGAAACCACTACTAAAGGACACCAATAAGAAGAAGAGACCTGCTTGGGCCAAGTAACACGAGCAATGGACATTAGACCGGTGGAAATGTGTCCTTTGGTCTGGAGTCCAAATTTGAGATTTTTGGTTCCAACCGCTGTGTCTTTGTGAGACGCGGTGTGGGTGAATGGATGATCTCCGCATGTGTATTTCCCATCTTAAAGCATGAAGGCGGAGGTGTTATGGTGTGGGGGTGCTTTGCTGGTGACACTGTCTGTGGTTTATTTAGAATTCAAGGCACACTTAACCAGCATGGTTACCACAGCATTCTGCAGCGATACACCATCCCATCTGGTTTGGGCTTAGTGGGACTATCATTTGTTTTTCAACAGGACAATGACCCAACACACCTCCAGGCTGTGTAAGGGCTATTTGACCAAGAAGGAGAGTGATGTAGTGCTGCATCAGATGACCTGGCCTCCACAATCCCCCAACCTCAACCCAATTGAGATGGTTTTGAATGAGTCGGACGGCAGATTGAAGGAAAAGCAGCCAACAAGTGCTAAGCATATGTGGGAACTCCTTCAAGACTGTTGGAAAAGCATTCAAGGTGAAGCTGGTTGAGAGAATGCCAAGATTGCGCAAAGCTGTCATCAAGGCAAAGGGTGGCTATTTGAAGAATCTCAAATATAAACTTTTTTTTTCTTTTTCTGACAAATAAAATCAATCAGTCAATCCAAACTGTGCAGCGGCCAATTGATGAATGGAAAGAGACATCTGTTTATTGGTTGTGTGGTGCATTAACACAGAAACCTGATGGTGGAAAATGTGTTTGTTGATTTGAAATTGATTTGTTTAACCATTTTTTGGTTACTACATGATTCCATATGTTATTTCATAGTTTTGACGTCTTCACTATTATTCTACAATGTAGAAAATTGTAAAAATAAAGAAAAACCCTTGAATGAGTAGGTGTGTCCAAACTTTTGGCTGGTACTGTAAAGTTGATAAGATTGAAGGTTTATATTTTATTTTTCTTTAATATATTTTAATATCCTGTTAATTTGGACAGCCATCCACTGCATAATGACATTCTGAGTGTCATTAAACTCAGTTATCTTATTGTCCCAGTGTGTGTAAGTCTATATCCTCTCCCTGAAAAAATATTTTGTTCCATGATGAAAAAAATATTTTGTTAAAATATGTTGTTGCTCTTGCTTATATACTGAACAAAAATATAAACGCAACATACAATAATTTTGAAGGTTTTACAGAGATACGGTTCATATAAGGAAATCAATCAATTGAAATAAATTCATTAGGCCCTAATCTATGGATTTCACATGACTGGGAATACAGATATACAGTGAGGGAAAAAAGTATTTGATCCCCTGCTGATTTTGTACGTTTGCCAACTGACAAAGAAATGATCAGTCTATAATTTTAATGGTAGGTTTATTTGAACAGTGAGAGACAGAATAACAACAAAAAGATCCAGAAAAACGCATGTAAAAAATGTTATAAATTGATTTACATTTTAATGAGGGAAATAAGTATTTGACCCCCTCAATCAGAAAGATTTCTGGCTCCCAGGTGTCTTTTATACAGGTAACGATCTGAGATTAGGAGCACACTCTTAAAGGGAGTGCTCCTAATCTCAGCTTGTTACCTGTATAAAAGACACCTGTCCACATAAGCAATCAATCAATCAGATTCCAAACTCTCCACCAGGGCCAAGACCAAAGAGCTCTCCAAGGATGTCAGGGACAAGATTATAGACCTACACAAGGCTGGAATGCGCTACAAGACCATCACCAAGCAGCTTGGTGAGAAGGTGACAACAGTTGGTGCGAATATTCGCAAATGGAAGAAACACAAAATAACTGTCAATCTCCCTCGGCCTGGGGCTCCATGCAAGATCTCACCTCGTGGAGTTGCAATGATCATGAGAACGGTGAGGAATCAGCCCAGAAGTACACGGGAGGATCTTGTCAATGATCTCAAGGCAGCTGGGACCATAGTCACCAAGAAAACAATTGGTAACACACTACGCCATGAAGGACTGAAATCCTGCAGCGCCCGCAAGGTCCCCCTGCTCAAGAAAGCACATATACATGCCCGTCTGAAGTTTGTCAATGAATATCTGAATGATTCAGAGGAGAACTGGGTGAAAGTGTTGTGGTCAGATGAGATCAAAATGGAGCTCTTTGGCATCAACTCAACTTGTCGTGTTTGGAGGAGGAGGAATGCTGCCTATGACCCCAAGAACACCATCCCCACCGGCAAACATGGAGGTGGAAACATTATGCTTTGGGGGTGTTTTTCTGCTAAGGGGACAGGACAACTTCACCGCATCAAAGGGACGATGGACGGGGCCATATACCGTCAAATCTTGGGTGAGAACCTCCTTCCCTCAGCCAGGGCATTGAAAATGGGTCGTGGATGGGTATTCCAGCATGACAATGACCCAAAACACACGGCCAAGGCAACTAAGGAGTGGCTTAAGAAGAGCACATTAAGGTCCTGGAGTGGCCTAGCCAGTCTCCAGACCTTAATCCCATAGAAAATCTGTGGAGGGAGCTGAAGGTTTGAGTTGCCAAACGTCAGCCTCGAAACCTTAATGACTTGGAGAAGATCTGCAAAGAGGAGTGGGACAAAATCCCTCCTGAGATGTGTGCAAACCTGGTGGCCAACTACAAGAAACATCTGACCTCTGTGATTGCCAAGAAGGGTTTTGCCACCAAGTACTAAGTCATGTTTTGCAGAGGGGTCAAATACTTATTTCCCTCATTAAAATGCAAATCAATTTATAACATTTTTGACATGCGTTTTTCTGCTGTCTTGAGATCATTGACAAGATCCTCCCGTGTACTTCTGGGCTGATTCCTCACCGTTCTCATGATCATTGCAACTCCACGAGGTGAGATCTTGCATGGAGCCCCAGGCCGAGGGAGATTGACAGTTATTTTGTGTTTCTTCCATTTGCGAATAATCGCACCAACTGTTGTCACCTTCTCACCAAGCTGCTTGGTGATGGTCTTGTAGCGCATTCCAGCCTTGTGTAGGTCTATAATCTTGTCCCTGACATCCTTGGAGAGCTCTTTGGTCTTGGCCCTGGTGGAGAGTTTGGAATCTGATTGATTGATTGCTTCTGTGGACAGGTGTCTTTTATACAGGTAACAAACTGAGATTAGGAGCACTCCCTTTAAGAGTGTGCTCCTAATCTCAGATCGTTACCTGAATAAAAGACACCTGGGAGCCAGAAATCTTTCTGATTGAGAGGGGGTCAAATACTTATTTCCCTCATTAAAATGCAAATCAATTTATAACATTTTTGACATGCGTTTTTCTGGATCTTTTTGTTGTTATTCTGTCTCTCACTGTTCAAATAAACCTACCATTAAAATTATAGACTGATCATTTCTTTGTCAGTGGGCAAAGTACAATATCAGCAGGGGATCAAATAATTTTTTCCCTCACTGTACATCTGTTTGTCACAGATGCCTTCAAAAACAAAAATTAGGGGCGTGGATCAGAACCAGTCAGTTTCTGGTGTGACCACCATTTGCCTTTGCATAGAGTTGATCAGGCTGTTTCCCACTCCTCTTCAATGGCTGTGTGAAGTTACTGGATATTGGTGGGAACTGGAACATGCTGTCGTACACGTCGATCCAGAGCATCCCAAACTTGCTCAATAGGTGACATGTCTGGTGACTATGCAGGCCATGGAAGAATTTGGACATTTTCAGCTTTCAGGAATTGTGTACAGATCCTTGCGACATGGGGCCGTGCATGATCATGCTGAAACATGAGGTGATGGTGGCGGATGAATGGCACGACAATGGGCCTCAGGATCTCGTCACGGTATCTCTGTGTATTCAAATTGCAATCGATATAATGCCATTGTGTCCGTTGTCCATAGCTTACATCTGCCCATACCTTAACCCCACTGCCACCATGGGGCACTCTGTTCACAACGTTGACATCAGCAAACCGCTCGCCCACACGACGCCATACATGTGGTCTGCGGTTGTGAGGCCGGTTGGACGTACAGCCAAATTCTCTAAAATGACATCGGAGGCGGCTTATGGAAGATAAATGAACATTAAATTATCTGACAACAGCTCTGGTTGACATTCCTGCAGTCAGCATGCCAATTGTTAGCTCCCTCAACATTTGAGACATCTGTGGCCATGTTTTGTGTCACAAAACTGCACATTTTAGAGTGGCCTTTTATTGTACCCAGCACAAGGTGCACCTGTGTAATGATCATGCTGTTTAATAAGCTTCTTGATATGCCACAGCTGTCAGGTGGATGGATTATCTAGGCAAAGCAGAAATGCTCACTAACATGCATGTAAACAAATGTGTGCACAACATTTGAGATAAGCTTTTTGTGCATATGGAACATTTCTGGGATCTTTTATTTCAGCTCATGAAACATGGGACCAACACTTTACATGTTGTGTTCATATTTTTGTTCAGTGTAAGAGGGATCCCAGTTTCCCAGACATTTGAAGGCACCAGAATGACAAGCACCCCGGACAGGCAGAAAATAAATGGGTTTACAATCAAAACATTCAAGTTGCCATGTTCTTCTCGCTTGCATAAGAGAATAGCTTGCATAGGGAACTGTTGTACCAGAGGCCCTTGCAATTTGTGTGTGCAGGCGTGTGTTTGTGTCTGTAAGTGTGATTTTGCCTGTGTGTGTGAAGTGTAGAAGTGTACAGTGGCTTGCGATAGTATTCACCCCATTTTTCCTATTTTGTTGCCTTACAACCTGGAATTAAAATTGATTTTGGGGGGGGGGGGGGGGGGGGGTTTGTATCATTTCATTTACACAACATGCCTACCACTTTGAAGATCTAAAATATTTTTGGGTGTGAAACAAGCAAGAAATAAGACAAAATAACTGACATTGAGCGTGCGTAACTATTCATCCCCCCAAAGTCAATACCTTTTGCAGCAATTACAGCTGCAAGTCTCTTGGTATGTCTCTATAAGCTTGGCACATCTAGCCACTGGTATTTTTGCCCATTCCTCAAGGCAAAACTGCTCTAGCTCCTTCAAGTTGGATGGGTTCCGCTGGTGTACAGCAATCTTTTAAGTCATACCACAGATTCTCAATTGGATTGAGGTCTGGGCTTTGACTAGACAATTCCAAGACATTTAAATTAGGGGTGTAACGATTCGTTTTAACAACGATTCGATTTGTATCACGATTCGTGGTTGTCGATACGATTCAAGGACGATATTGGTTCATTTAGAACGATACGATCCGAAACGATTCAGTGACTTGAAATCGATTCAATAACCTTTTAGCCAAAAATTCAACCAGTGTGACTGAAATAAATACCTGGATACTGGACAGTGCAGGTGAAGTTTCCTAGATTCCTGTTTCTTGTAAGGACCGCAATGGTGGCTTGATAATTTCTCGCTCGTCGGCTTCTCCTCTGTCGTCCGCCATGCTATGTTTTGTTGTCTTTGCGCTTTTGCGCTGCTGCTGGCGCGGGGCGATGACGTCACGGATAGGCAGACTGAATCGAGTAATGTTTAAAGCCTTTATCATTAAAAGTGCTAAGAAAAAACATCCATATAAAGTCTGACGTGCTTAAATCCAATGGGTTATTTCCTAGTATCGATACAATCGATTTATTACATTTTAAAACGATGTTAGATTGATACATGTTGTCCAAAAGGCCAACTCGCCGAGCACAGATCGATGTAGTTGGATCATAGGAATATAAATCGATACATCGATGTAGTAGATGGATCGTTACACCCCTAATTTAAATGTTTCCCCTTAAACCACTTGAGTGTTGCTTTAGTAGTATGCTTAGGGATCATTGTCCTGCTGGAAGGTGAACCTCCGTCCCAGTCTCAAATCTCTGGAAGACTGAAACAGGTTTCCCTCAAGAATTTCCCTGTATTTAGCGCCATCCTTCAATTCTGACCAGTTTCCCAGTCCCTGCCGATGAAAAACATTGATTCTGTTCTTGGGGTGATGAGAAGTGTTGGGTTTGCACCAGACATAGCGTTTTCCTTGATGGCCAAAAAGCTCAGTTTTAGTCTCATCTGACCAGAGTACCTTCTTCCATATGTTTGGGGAGTCTCCCACATGCCTTTTGGCGTACACCAAACGTGTTTGTTTATTTTTTTCTTTAAGCAATGGCTTTGTTCTGGCCACTCTTCCGTAAAGCCCAGCTCTGTGGAGTGTACGGCTTAAAGTGGTCCTATGGACAGATACTCCAATCTCCGCTGTGGAGCTTTGCAGCTCCTTCAGGGTTATCTTTGGTCTCTTTGTTGCCTCTCTGATTAATGCCCTCCTTGCCTGGTGCGTGAGTTTTGGTGGCAGCCCTCTCTTGGCAGGTTTGTTGGTGGTGCCATATTCTTTCAAATTTTGAATAATGGATTTAATGGTGCTCCGTGGGATGTTCAAAGTTTCTGATATTTTTTTATAACCCAACCCTGATCTGTACTTCTCCACAACTTTCTCCCTGACCTGTTTGGAGAGCTCCTTGGTCTTCATGGTGCCGCTTGCTTAGTGGTGCCCCTTGCTTAGTGGTGTTGAAGACTCTGGGGCCTTTCAGAACAGGTGTATATATACTGAGATCATGTGACAGACCATGTGACACTTAAATTGCACACAGGTGGACCTTATTTACATTTACGTCATTTAGCAGACGCTCTTATCCAGAGCGACTTACAAATTGGTGCATTCAACTTATGATAGCCAGTGGGACAACCACTTTTATTTTTTATATTTTTTTATGGGGGGTAGAAGGATTACTTTTATACTATTCCAGGTATTCCTTAAAGTGTCTCCGGAAGGTGGTCAGTGACTCCGCTGTCCTGGCATCGTGGGGGAGCTTGTTCCACCATTGGGGTGCCAGAGCAGCAAATAGCTTTGACTGGGCTCAGCGGGAACTGTGCTTCCGTAGAGGTAGGGTGGCTAGCAGGCCAGAGGTGGATGAACGTAGTGCCCTCTTTGGGTGTAGGGTCTGATCAGAGCCTGAAGGTAAGGAGGTGTCGTTCCCCTCACAGCTCCGTAGGCAAGCCCCATGGTCTTGTAGTAGATGCGAGCCTCAACTGGAAGCCAGTGGAGTGTGCGGAGGAGCGGGGTGACATGAGAGAACTTGGGAAGGTTGAACACCAGACGGGCTGCATCGTTCTGGATAACTTGTAGGGGTTTAATGGCACAGGCAGGGAGCCCAGCCAACAGCGAGTTGCAGTAATCCAGACGGGAGATAACAAGTGCCTGGATTAGGACCTGTGCCGCTTTCTGTGTAAGGTAGGGTCGTACTCTGCGAATGTTGTAGAGCATGAACCTGCAGGATCGGGTCACTGCTTTGATGTTAGCAGAGAACGACAGGGTGTTGTCCAGGGTCACGCCAAGGTTCTTTGCACTCTGGTAGGAGGACACAATGGAGATGTCAAGTTGTCAGGTTCTGCTTGAGGTGGTGATCCGACATCCACACTGATATGTCTGCCAGACATGCAGAGATGCGATTCACCACCTGGTTATCAGAAGGGGGAAAGGAGAAAATTAATTGTGTGTCGTCTGCGTAGCAATGATAGGAGATACCATGTGAGGATATGACAGAGCCAAGTGACTTGGTGTATAGAGAGAATAGGAGAGGGCCTAGAACTGAGCCCTGGGGGACCCCAGTGGTGAGAGCACGTGGTGCGGAGACAGATTCTCACCACGCCACCTGGTAGGAACGACCTGTCAGGTAGGACGCAATCCAAGAGTGAGCAGCGCCGGAGATGCCCAACTCGGAGAGGGTGGAGAGGAGGATCTGATGGTTCACAGTATCAAAGGTCTAGAAGGATAAGAGCAGAGGAGAGAGAGTTAGCTTTAGCAGTGCGGAGAGCCTCCGTGAGACAGAGAAGAGCAGTCTCAGTTGAATGACCAGTCTTGAAACCTGACTGGTTTGGATCAAGAAGGTCATTCTGAGAGAGATAGCAGGAGAGTTGGCTAGAGATGGCACGCTCAAGAGTTTTGGAGAGAAAAGAAAGAAGGGATACTGGTCTGTAGTTGTTGACATCGGAGGGATCGAGTGTAGGTTTTTTGAGAAGACTGAAGGGACATAGCCAGCGGTCAAGGATTAGTTGATGAGCGAGGTGAGGTAAGGGAGAAGGTCTCCGGAAATGGTCTGGAGAAGAGAGGAGGGGATAGGGTCAAGTGGGCAGGTTGTTGGGCGGCCGGCCGTCACAAGTCGTAAGATTTCATCTGGAGAGAGAGGGGAGAAAGAAGTCAAAGCATAGGGTAGGGCAGTGTGAGCAGGACCAGCGGTGTCATTTGACTTAATAAATGAGGATCGGATGTCGTCAACCTTCTTTTTCAAAATGGTTAACAAAGTTATCCATAGAGGGGGAGGAGGAGGATGATTCAGCAGGGAGGAGAAGGTGGCAAAGAGCTTCCTAGGGTTAGGGTTATTTAACTAATTATGTGACTTCTGAAGGTAATTGGTTGCATCAGATCTTATTTAGGGGCTTCAAAGCAAAGGGGGTGAATACATATGCACGCACCACTTTTCTGTTATTTTTTTTTTAGAATTTTTTGCAACAAGTTATTCTTTTCATTTCACTTCACCAATTTGGACTGTTTTGTGTATGTCCATTACATGAAATCCCCCCCCCCCAAAATCCATTTTAATTACATTTACATTTTACATTTTAGTCATTTAGCAGACGCTCTTATCCAGAGCGACTTACAGTTAGTGAATACATTTTTTTTATTTTTATACTGGCCCCCCGTGGGAATCGAACCCACAACCCTGGCGTTGCAAACGCCATGCTCTATCAACTGAGCTACATCCCTGCCGGCCATTCCCTCCCCTACCCTGGACGACGCTGGGCCAATTGTGCGCCGCCCATGAGTCTCAATTACAGGTTGTAATGCAACAAAATAGGAAAAACGCCAAGGGGGATGAATACTTTTGCAAGGCCCTGTATATGTGACTGTGTCAGTGCTGTGACTGAAGGTGTGTGTGTGTGTCAACACTGTTGTTTATGTATACTAAAGTAGTTGTTCTCTCCTCAGGCTCTGCGGCAAAGGCGGGGGGCGTCAGTTTCTCAGAAGAGCCAGCCACCGCTACTGATGGCACTCCCTCCCATGTCCACTTTGACAAGAAGCTCCACGACTCTGTCGTCATGGTGATCCCTCAGCCCGATGGGAACTTCATGGTCAAGGTGGGTTTGGTTTTTGGATTGGCGAATTTAACATGTCTGACGTGACAATAACCATAACAGTTGGGCAAAACGGCACACCCAGAGAGCTAGGATACTCTGAAACTTACCCCTTAATCTCAAGTGGTCCCCCAGTCCTCCTCCTTTACTTGGAAAAGTCAGTACAGCCAGTGTTGCCATTGTGAACTACGAGGAGTTGACCATGTATGACAACTAAGGGGAGGAGACAAGCTCTCTGCTAGTCTCTGTTCTTAAGGTTTAGTTCCACATATGCCAGATAGATCTCTCCTTACTACCTGCTCCAATAGCCCTCCAACCATCAACTGTTCACGTTAGGGCCCTAAGTTTATCCTGACCATGTGACCTGTCCAAGAAAAACGAAATCAGCTACTCTTCCTGGGCTCCATAGTTAGTGGACCCCAGGAATTGTAGCTGCTGCATGAGCAACAGCTAAGGGGGATCCTAGTAAACTAAACTAATCTACACTTCGCTAGTAGATAGCCACATTCTTTTGACTGTTTTGCCAAGTTGGCTATACAGCACAAGGAGATGTGGAACCAGGCATAGAAGTGGATCAGAGAACTTCTGTTGTCTCTGCAGCACAGTAACAGTAGGCGTGGGCAGTATGACTGTGCTGTTCTGACCAGCCTTTTATTCCACTGCCCTGGTGTGGGAAGCAGGGTCCACCAGACAGACGACAGGGTTGAATTTGCCGTGTGTCTGAAGTTCTCAGCTACACCCTAGGAACCGCAGGGTTGCCATGGAACAGGGGCCGGAGGGGAGGGGAGGGGAGGGGGGGGGGGGGGACCAACCATAGCCAGAGCCGCTCCTGGCAACCGGGGCTTGTGTAGATCAGATGTGGTGGGATGTAGTGTGTGGGTTGGTTGGAGACGGACGGTATGCTGCATAGCTGTATAATCAAAGCACTGGATTTGTTTGTTGTTGTGTTTCTTTCACTCTCTTCCCTACCTATCTTCTTCACTTGTTCTGTGTTTGGTTTGACGTGGTTAGAGGATCATGTGAGGCTTGGGTTGCTTGTTTGAGGCATTCGAGACTGAGGGTTATCTATTGGCTCCTCTCTCTCTCTCTCTCTCTCTCTCTCTCTCTCTCTCTCTCTCTCTCTCTCTCTCTCTCTCTCTCTCTCTCTCTCTCTCTCTCTTGCTCTTTTCTCCCTCCTTATCTCTTCTCGTGGAGCGCAAGTAAAAAAAGCTGCTTTTTTTTCATCTTCACACACTCTCTTTATCTCTTTTGTGCATTGTATCATTTTCATGAAATTACATTTACATTTTAGTCATTTAGCAGACGTTCTTATCCAGAGCGACTTACAGTTAGTGAATACATATATATTTTTTCGAACCCACAACCCTGGCGTTGCAAACACCATGCTCTATCAACTGAGCTACATCCCTGCCGGCCATTCCCTCCCCTACCCTGGACGACGCTGGGCAAATTGTGCGCCGCCCATGAGTCTCCCGGTCGCGGCCGGCTGCGACAGAGCCTGGATTCGAACCAGGATCTCTAGTGGCACAGTTAGCACTGCGATGCAGTGCCTTAGACCACTGCGCCACTCAGGAGTAATCACATGAACCAGACAGGATGTTTATCAGAGAGAGAAAAGCACGTTTATTTTTGTCATCAGATGAAACATAAGGATGTGCATGTTCAAAACCGGAAGCTTCTTTGCAGGGTAGAGCTAATTCTCTTTTATTGCTAGAAAATGCTTTTCCTGTGCATTTGTCTGTATTGTGAATGAATCGTCTCTTTTTCTGTCTCCCGTCCATCTCTCTCTCTCTCTCTTTCTCTCTCTCTCTCTCTCTCTCTGTGTCGCTCTCTCTTTCACCCTTTCTCCCTCAGGTTGGTTTTCTGAAGACCCAGCACAAGTATGAGATTGTCTTCGACCTCCCTGAGGTTCCATCACTGGGGAAGGACGTGTGTCCAGCTGCTATACCCAACCCTCACATCTGCATCACCGATATCATTCCTGTAGCAGAGGGTATGTCAGAGTCTTGGTCAAGCCAGCCTCAGCCCTAGTCCCTGTCCCAGTCCCACCCGTTAATCTAACCCCAGACTCCAGCCCCAGCTACCTCGACCTAGCTCATGCTTCAGTTTTACCGTAGCTGTCAGCACAACCCCCAGATACAACCTTTGCCCTATACCCAGACATAATCCCAACCCTTTAGAAATCCACTGATCTTTATCCAGTCTCCAGTTTACCAGACCTTCATATCAGTAATTCTTTATAGTAGCTGTTCATCTAATATGTACAGGAAACACTGAAAGATTGTCACTCCATGACAGAAACCGAATCAGGAAATTCTTTAACTGTTTTCCTAACATCCCCCAGGGGGTTTCTGTAGTTCGTAATGAGGGTTTTTATTACCACTCACTCACTACAGTAGTTTGTTCTAACATTGACTTGAGTTCGTTGCGCCATTCCATTCCACCATCTGCTGGGATACCATGACCTTCTACTTTAATCCCCGTGCCCTTATGTGACCTCTTGGACTCCCTCTGTGTGTGTGTGTGTTATTTGTAGTGTTTGCCAGCTGTGTTAATGTGTTTGACCCCAGAGTTTTTCCACTCTGGTTGACATTTCACTCCCCTGGCCCTGTGTGTGTCTGGCCTCTGTCCACTCAGAAAAAAGATAGAGGGAGAAGTAAACAATGATTTGAGTTTTTTGTAGTCATAACAAGCACCTCCCCCTCCCCCCCCACCAGGTGGTCTGAGAGTGACGTGTGAGTACATGGCCCACCAGGAGGGGGTGCTGTGTGAGGAGGTGATGCTGGTCAGTGAGAGCCAGGAGGACGTCTGTGTGGGGGTCAAGGTTCAAGCCCGCGTAATGGGTAAGTGTAGGGGGAAGTTGTACCTAGACTCTGATCTTGGGTCATTTTTGCAGTTTTTCCCCACTCATGGTTAAGATTGGGATTGAGGAAGGATAACCTGATCCTAGATCTGTACCAAGGGGAAACTTCACCCCGCAGCGGGTAAGTCTACAGTTACACCCATGATAACAAAACCAATTCGTTCCAAGTCGTCTTTATTGCAGTCACACTGTGCAGGTGATCAGATCTCGCAATGCCTGGAGAAGTGTTTAGCGACCAAAATGATATAGCAGTACTTTAAGATGTGAGCATGCATAGATCTCAGAAGATTGCTATATCATGTCAGTGTGGTTCCTGAGATGTTAAATACTTATCCAGGCATTGTGAGATCTGCACACATTTTGCAACTAAAACGAGAGTAGTCAAGTTTTAGTCTAACGAGAGTAGTCACCACTTTTCATGCAACTAAAACTTGTAGTCACCACTTTCATTAGAAACGTACTTTCCAGTGTGATGCAATGTTCTGTCCGTCCTTAAAATGAGTACATGTGTTGTATTGTATTGTTGTGTCATGCTGTATGTGCTCTGTAGAGGTAGTGGTTCTCAAACCTCTCCTCTGGGATCCAAAGCCGTTCTATGTATTTTAACTATTCCAGATCTAATACACCTGATTTAACTTGTCAACTAATCATCAAACCCTTGAATATGTGAATTAGGTGAGCTAGTTCAGGGATACAATTAAATGATGAAATGTCTGAGGTCCTTGAGGAGAGGTTTGGGAACCACTGCTGTACAGTGAACCCTCATAATTTACTGTGTAGACAACAGTGCTGAAAACCAACTGCTTTCTCTAATAATAGCATTTCTAAATAAGGGAAAGGGAAGGGCAAACCTAGTCAGTTGCACAACTGAACGCATTCGACCGAAATCTGTCAGTTATTTCTGGGTGTGTCAATGTAGTTTTACTGTAGCCAACTAGTCATTGTCTTCCCCAAACAAGGCAAGGCAATGGTGTAGTGTTGTTGAATTGAGTAACGGTCTAGCACCTAGGAGTCTGATATTGCTCCTTAACAATTCATTTTTGGATAAAGAGGTTGCGAACAATTATGTAGTAGTGTGCTGTTGCCACCTGCTGGTGAGTCTGAGCAGCATGGGTTAAGCATCACTGATGACTTCAATAATGTGATAATCTGAGGACAACGAAGTGAATCACACATAAATGGGGAGCTTATAATTGGTAAAATAATTGTACTGTATTAAATGTGACTGATTTGATTATAATCACTGCATCTCGTTCTTCCTGTTAGCTACTGGAGTTGCAGCCGTTTTCCTTCTCTGTAACACACTGTGGCTTTGACTGACTACTTTCATTGTCTGGAAGCTATCAATAGAGTCTGTCACGATGATTCACTTTGGAACCTAACACCAACCCCATAATTAATTTGCTTTCAACAGAAATGTATTGTCTTATTTATTCATTTTCAGTCATTTATGTTTTTAAATGACAACCGTGTGCGAAACATTTGTGTCAGACAGCTACACAAGTAGATGGGTAGTGGGGAGCGTTTGTATTCACATGCAGCGTCACAAATGGCACCCTACTACCTATTTAGTGTGCTACTTTTGACCAGAGACCTATGGGCCCTGGTCAAAAGTAGTGCACTACATAGGGAATAGGGTGTGATTTGGGACGCAGATACAGAGTGGAGAGGCGAACATGAACATCTGTAGGCAGGCAGAGGAGGGAAGGGGGTGTAGTGTGTGTGTGTGTGTGTGTGTGTGTGTGTGTGTGTGTGTGTGTGTGTGTGTGTGTGAAAGCTTTCGTGGAGGGGCCGAGAAACAGATCACACAGCTTAATTCCTTTTGGGCTTTACTGACTCTCTCTCACCCTACTTTACTAGCAACACACTGTAATTGAGGACTGGCACTGGTCTGATGATGTAGACTAAAACCATTTCTGAGAAATAACCTAATGGTATTTTATCTCTCTCTCCCTCTCTCTATCTTTCTCTCTCTCCCCCTCATTCTTTCTCTCCCTTTTTTTATTTTCTCTGTTTCTCTCCCTCTTCTTTTTCTCTCTCTCTTTCTCTCCCCCTCTCTCTCTCCCTGTTTTTCAGACCGTCACCATGGTACACCCATGTTGTTGGAAGGTGTGCGTTGTGTGGGAGTGGAGCTGGAGTATGACTCTGAACAGAGTGACTGGCAAGGATTTGACTAGACCAGGCAATGCAAGACACACACACCTTCAAACAGAAAAGACAGTGCCACATATATTGGCATTCACCATCCACTCTGCTCCGAACTATCACTGACCATTCAAGATGTTTTGGTCCAAAAGGAGGATAAAATTATGAAATGGACAGTGGTTCTTCTTTTAAAGCAAGGCTAATGTGATCAGATCTCTGAGCATACCTCCAGTATAGTTAGTTTATACATCTGAAATGATTCTGAAACAGGTACTGTTTTTTAATTGTCATTAGTACTGCAATGACATACCCAACTGCCCACGCCTTTCCACTGAGTGCCCCTATGTTGTGTTGAATATGTTTTCTGAGTAAACCTATAGGGGGCAGCAAAGCTCATGTAATCAATTCAGCCCAATTTCACCCAGCCTGACCTCAAAAGTACCAATAGAGGTCGACAAAGACCACTAAATGTATCCCTCCCATCTGAATCCAAAGTTCTGGATGACATGGAGGGATTGAAAATGACTTATTTTAAGTTCATTATAATTATAATAATCATAATTATACGCTATGAATCAATTGCAAGTGCCTACATTACTGTACAGCTTTTACCATCAACAACTGCATTCTATCCCTCTAGCACTCACTCACCTGCCCTCCAGGAGTTGAAAGAATTTGGGGTTTGGTGGCTCTGCACTCAAGGATAGGTCAGCTTTCCAAGACATTTTAAATTTTATTGAGATGTAAAATGTATATTCAGTATATTTTGCAAGGATGAAAGATTGGTGCCATCAGTACCATTGGTAGTAGATCCGCACAGATTTTCAATGTTAGGCTTTTATATGCATTCTAAGCAAGAAGAGAAAGATTTGAACATTTTGTTTAGGCCACCATGAATCTGCCTTAATCTAGTTCCCCTTCACCCCCAAACCCCTCACCATCCTCTCTGAGCACTCATACTCTCGTTGCAACCTAATCTCTTAGTAAGTAGTATAGTTAGTCACTGTTTACTGTCAATGGCTAGTCACTGTAAATGCATATTCCCATCAAATAAGAATATCTAGTACAATCACTCTCCGTATTTCACATAGCTAAATGGACTTAAACCTGTTTTCTTTATCATATCAGACAATCTACATGTGTTAATTGTGTTTGCCCTTAATTGAGAAGAACCTTTATCTTTTGTGTTTATATATCGGTGTATAATAGGCTCTGTAATGTCTTAAAGTTATCCCTTGTTGTCTGGTGTCCATACTAAATTCACGCTCCCAGGTTGGGGTCAATTCCATTTAAATTCCAATCAATTCAGGAAGTACATTGGAATTCAAATTCTCTTCCATGCTTTTCAATGTGGATAATTTGGAATTGGAATTTGGTTTACTTTCTGACTGGAATTTAAATGGAATTGTCCCTAACCCTGCCATGCTTCAAACGATAGTGAAACGGAGCGTGGATTCAGTTTAGATACCAGCCGATCTTGTCCCGTCGACAGCTTAAGAGTAGAAAAAGAGGGTGCACTATTGTTCATGCAGTCAGACTGATCAAAATAATATTCTCTGTTCTTAGCAGGGTTGGGGTCAATTCCGTGTAAATTCAGAAAGTAAACCAAATTCCAATTCAATTCCAAATTTCTCATTGAAAAGCATTGAAGAGAATTGGAATTTCAGTGTACTTCCTGAATTAACAGGAATTAAAAATGGAATTGACGCCAACCCTGGTTCTTAGGTTACTGTAATGAGGGATTACTGTACTAGGAGGGGTGGAGCATTTTGTCAGTCGATACACTACAGAATACATGTTCCCTTATAGGTGTTTGTTATTGTGATCGCTCTTATTTTGTTATCCCATGAAGCAATAAAGTTTATGTATTTAAAAATAAGTACTTGTATAACTGTGCTTTTGTTTCACCATTGCATAATGCTGTGATTTTCCGCTGGAGGGCTGTTCTTACTGTTTTATTACTGTGTTCTGTTGGATGTAATGGAACTACAGGATACATCTATGTTCTGAGGTTTACAGCGTTTCATATAGGCTATGGGTATGCTATAGTCTAAATATTAGAACGGATCCATAGATTAGGTGGGAAATTGTCTCTGACCCTGACGCACCTTGTTTTCTTAGTCCCCTTTGTCTTGCTCTTGCTTCACCTCCATTTCCCTCTCCCTCACACTCTCTACGTCCATCCTTCACCTCCATTTCCCTCTCCCTCACACTCTCTACGTCCATCCTTCACCTCCATTTCCCTCTCCCTCACACTCTCTACGTCCATCCTTGTGTGTCCCTGTCTCAGTCCCAATCATAACACAACCTGCCCTACTGCTGCAAACCACAGATTCAAATCCTACAAACACTCCAAGGGGACGTTGGTTGGTGTGTGTGTGCTCTTTGTTCCTCTACTATAAAAGCCTGGCCAGTGCTTCATGGTTGCGCTCGTGTTCTGGTTCCATCTTGACCGTAACTAGCAGTTAGACACAAGATACAAGACTCGATTCCGTCCCCTTTAGATGGCACAGTCCCCTTATGTTAATTGCCTGTAAAAATTTTTATTGCATAATGTGTTTTATGCACAACTTCACAATCCCTTCATTTGGGTGAGGGGATGTAAACATGACCCAGTAGTACCCTAGTTGAGACACACACACACACACACACACACGGTTCACAGTCAGTCCACTTACTTGACACGGCCACAGAGAATTCCCTTGTCTGTACTCTGTCTGTCTCTCATTCCGGTTCTAGTTCCGGATCCTTCTCCTTCCCAGCCAGCAACCAAGCCAGTGTGACCGGGTGGGAAAGAAACGGCAAGACCTCTAGAGACTTTGTCCTGATTCTCCACCCTTCTCTCGAAGTATGCACTTGCACACTTCCCGTCATGGATGTACGTTAACCACGGTGGTAACTCCCTCCAAACAACCCTTACACCAATTCAATGCTTCAATCAATGACTAGGAGTGTGTACTTGCACACTTACTTTGGGAGGAGGGTAGAGAATCAGGACATAGCCTCTCCCTTGTAGTATAGTGTGCACTAGTTTTCAGGGAACAACTCATTAGCTCTCTAAATTAAAAAGTGCTTTCAGAAAACAATCAACTGGCCAAAATTATCGACGATGATGCACTAATGATACACTAAACAGACATTTATTTAAATGACAGCGTTTAGTGTAGGCTGTAAAACCGTTTGTCCCTTCTCTCTAGGGATATCATTTGTATCATGTTACTGACAGGATGATTGAAACTCCATACATTTCAGTCACTGCTTCAATAGTAGACCTACATCACTGAACTAACTTATAGGCCTCCTAGGCATCTAAGTTTCCCCACCCCCCTGGTGCACAGTAAACGACCCACCTCGCATGATAACTATATGAAAATAAAATGAAGCATCTAGGAGCAAAGCATTTGTCATTTAAATTAAATATTAAGATTGCCATGTAACAATGGTTGGGATAACAACAAGCTTACACTGTTGTTATAATTTGGATTGTTCAAAGTGTACAGGTATAGCAGTAAAAAAAAAAATACATTGCTCTGATTAGGCTATCATTACTATTAAACTATTTTAGAAGTCTTTCATATTGTTTTATTTATTGTAGAGTAGGTCAGTATAGTAGGCTACATGGTCTATTTTTAATGCATCCACTCTAAATCTAGAAGTACATGAAACTCACCGTTTGCATTCAAGATTTAAAGGACTGCAAACCTCCAATATTCATTAGCCTACTTTGAACGTCTGTTCTTTAAACAATATTAAATATATGAGCCTATGTAGACTATTGGAACATTTAACTAATACATTTTCTTGTGCATCGTTTTTGGCTAGCGTTACTCTGTCCGTAACCTATAGGCATACACCTTTAATGCGTAAGACAAGACCATCGCCCTTTCGATACAGCCTTAACGAAATTCTGAGCCTTGAAATCACCGCGTTCACCAGAGCAGGGTCAACGGGTGTTGGTCCCTGAACCTAAAATTTCGCATTCGTTTTGTGGACAGTTGGTGAAATAAGTTAGTCATCAAATTCGTGCTCAAATGCATACATTTGCATAATCTTCAACCATTAGCCTATGTAGGCAACAATTAAAGCCTAAAGACATCACCTGTTGGCTACGGTTATAATGGCTATTTTACGCATAGGAAATTATGACTTTGTATACATCACTTATAAATTGTGACTTGTGTTACAAATAAATATTAACAGATGTGTGACCTGATATTAAAATAAATATACATTTTATTATGTAGCCTATAAATCTTCCCAAATATACAATTAATTCAAAATGTTCCAAACATTTCTCCTTTCATTACATATCAGAGTTTTTGGTGGAGACCAAACTTTCCATTCTTCTTTAATGCTTTGACATGCAGGTGTAGGCCTAAATGAGTTGAAAATGAAGTTGCCTACACTGTAAAACGGCAGCCAACCACCTGTAAGTTACTGTAAAAAAAGGTACAGTATGTTACCTTAAATTCCAAAGAAACTTTGATTTAACAGTACATTACTGTAAACGTTATGTACTGTTAAACCAGTTTCTTAGGAATTTATGGTAACATACTGTTTTTTTTTTTTTTTTTTTTTACAGTAACAGACAGTACTGGCTGCAATTAAAAACAACAGGATTTTTTTTCTTACAGTGTAAGGTAAAACAAATAAATATTTTCTATATAATATACCACCACAGACCCATTGCAAGCATAATTTAGGAAATACAATATCTTCATTCTGTTATCTAAGAAAAAGTTAATATTTTCAGTTCATCCATGGTTAGAATTTAACGGATGAATGAATGGTCTTACCGTTCCATGGGGCAAAATGCAATCATTCATTCAAAGCATAGGCTATACAATTCAACAGTTGGTTAAAGGTAGGCTCAATTATTTTCACTATTCAGACGCTGTTGAGGTTCATGCGGTTGGAACACCAGACTATAGGCTTCTGGTTCCAGAAACAGGACTACTGCATCGGATATTAAAGCCTAATCGTCACCAACCCAATAGTTTGACACATGACAGCATGGGGTGATATGTTTCATGTTCATTTATCACCCTTTGTCTCTCTCTCTCTCGCTCTCTCTTTAAAATATCTGAAATGAATAGAATTATGCGCCGAGAGCATTTGTCTCGCTACACCAGGAGAGCAAGGCCTAGTATTTCGGTATGATAGGCAGGCTACTGCTCATACCGCCCGGAGTCGCGGGACCCACCGAGAGTGTTCGACACTCTCTCATCTCTATTCTGACGAGTTGAATCTGTTTGACATCAAGGCGCAAATTGAACAACATTTTGGTGAAACAGTCAAGCTGAGGTTTGCTACGAAAAATATTAGCCTACAACAAAATCATGATATATATATATATATAAATAATATATTTATTTGTATAGACCTATGTTAATGAAGTAATACATTTAAATATACTTGTATTGTATGTACTTGTGTTGTTGCTATAGTTGCGGGTCTTAGTACATAGACCTATACCCACGATGAACACCT